CCCTCGCCCCACCCTTTGTGACCATGTGGGACACACAACCTGTTACTGATAGATCTGTGCTCAATGAATGAATAAAAGAACTGATGAAATAATTCAATCAGCTTGCTGACCTCGCCCTTACGTTCTCTTCTAAGCCTAATGTTAAGAGAACACAAGTATTTTCTAAAAGTGTTCTGTAATCACTTCAAGGCCACAATGAAACGAGGATGGAGCATGAGCAGAACAGAGAAAATATAATAGGAAATTTGCATTTAATTTTTCATTAAATTAATCATATTATATAACAATATCATATGTTAATCATATTAATGAAAAGTTCCTAAAAATAACAATTTTAGATCCTATAAACATCTCAACATCAATTAGAAAAACAAAACATGAGGGAAAAACATGAAGGGACGAGCTCTCTCAAAATGCTAGAGACTGTGCGGGTGGCGTTCGGTCCCTTTCAGCGTCCTGCCAAGCAGCGGCGATGCGAGACGCTAGAGAGAGCAGCGTCCGGCACCAACAGCCACACGCCAAGTGTGCGGGGAGTTCTGATGAGCGCGAGCTAAACTCAGCAAGAGTCTCAAGCTTAGACCAGTGGTGAAGCTTGCTGGGAGAGTTAGCATTTGAAGTGAGCCTTCTAAAAGTGGGAGTGATTGAGACCCCGGGAGGAGCAGGTGGGGACCCCAGCCAGGGTCGCTGTGACTGTCCTCCCAGGTCGCTACCCCAGAAGCCAGCCCCAGGCTGGGACGTGGGATGTGGGAGGTGGTCCTGGGAGTACCGGAAGGGGTAAGTCCATTCTTGATCCACAGGCAGCGGGCACCTCCAGGGCTCAGTGTGGCCCCTCCCTCTGGGAGGCCAGGAGAGCAGGTAGGGAAGAACCCGGGGCTTGTTCTCCCCTCCCTCTCACCTTTGGAGAGGCCCCTGTAGGTGTCCTTTGGTTGCACTCTCAGCCTACTCTGCGACCAGACCACTGGGCAGTGTGACGAAGGTCAGAGCAGGCTGCACGGACAAGGCCCTTGAATGCAGAGGGGCAGAGAGCAGGGTGCCACGGCCTCCGTGCCAGTGATTAACACTCGGGGATCTAACTCTGGGAAGACCAAACTGTCAAAGGGATGCAAGGAAAGGACTGTGAAGGAGTGCAGGGCACATTTTTCTCTTGCTTTAAATCAAGGACACATGATTCTGGAGCCCTGCATTACTTAGTCTTTATTGATCACATGGAGCCCAGATTCTATGGGACAAAGAGTCTTCTGTCACTTGCTAGAAGTGTACCTATGTGAAAAGAGTTAACGAAATCCACAGAAAGTTTCCAGAATCCAAACTGAGCTCTTTATGCGGGAGAGTATACAAGATAGAGACTATGAATGCTTGGGGAAAACAACTCGTAATCAGGAAGCAGGGGGAAAATAGTGCCGACACGGAGACAACCAAAGGTTGCAGTTGGCCAACAGCAATATGGAGAGCGCGCACATCCTTCTGCCTAGGTGTCACCTCCTGGAAGGGGATGGGCAGACAGGGAAGCAGACAGGGTCTCAGCAGAGAAAGGCGAGTGATTCCTGAAGGAGGTGCAGGGCCGGTGGGATTTGAAACCAGCACTGAACAAGCAGTGTGGGTCATGCGTTCATTCAGGAAGCACAGGATGTGTCATGCACAGGGCACCGTGCTCCACGTAGGTTCCATTCTAGTGGGAAGATGTCAACAGGTACTTAAATGGGTGCAAAGTACAATGCCAGACAATCATTCCTGGTGCTGTAAGAAAAACCAACAATGCATAAAAATCAAAGTTTACTATTTCACATCATGATTTCTTAAAAGCACACACACACTGAGCTAGGAGAACAAAGAACAGCGAGAATGGGATCCATGGATAGAAACACCCCTGTCCTTCCTTCCTTCCTTCCTTTCTTCCTTCCTTCCTGTTTCTTTCCTACCTTCCTTCTTCCTCCCTTCCTTCCTTCCTCCCTCCGTTCCTTCTTTCCGTCCTTCCTTCCTTCCTTCTTCCTTTCTTGCTGTTCCTTTCTTCCTTTTTTCCTTCCTTCTTCTCTCCCTCCTCCGTCCTTCCTCCCTCCTTCCTTCTCTTCCTCTATTTTTGAGACAGAGTCTCACTTCTTGCCCATGTTGAACTACTAGACTGAAATGACCCTCCAGCTTCAGCCTTTGAGTAGCTAAGACTATATGTATGCCACCACACTGAGCTCATGGTACCATTTTTAATTAACTTTCCTCTCCTTTCCCTACACACATATTTCACCAGCTAAATGCTCACTTTGGGAGGGTGGTTTGGGTCTGCGACCAGGAGTGGCTGGTGCTTTCCCAAGGACAGCAGGTGGACACTTAGGGACCAGGCGGTGGCTTCTTTTCTCACTGTCTGGCACATGCTCCCAGAGAAGCTAGAGGCTGATCTCCCTGGCTTTGTCCTTCACAGGAGGTCAGCAGAGCAAGCCCTGGTGATGGAGAGCACGATGCCTGCCTCACAGATTGTGTGAGCAGTGTCCTGAAGTGGTGCAGGCAGAAAGGCCTGTATGTGGGCCCCATTGCACAGGGCACCTCAGCCCGTCTTGCTGTGGGGGCAGCTGTGCCCTGTCGCCTTTTTCTCTGTGCCTGCTCCCCGTGGGGCTTGAATCCCACTGTGAGGAGCTCTCCCAGTGGGGCCCGTATGCCCCACCAAGCTGGCCATTTTTCAGTGTCCTGGGAGGCGAAGTCAGCAAACAGGGGAGCCGACTCTTTGTGCGGAAAGAAGCCAGTCTCCCTGGGGAATCTGTTTTGTGGACAGTGGGAGTTTGGGGGCTTGGGAAAGCGTTTCTGTGACACCGGGGAGGTTAGAACATTTTGACTGCATTCCTAGAGGAGCTAAGCTTGGCACTAGGCCCAAAGGGCTCCCACCCCTGCAGAAGCCCCTGGACCTGGCGTTGGGAAGACATCCTGATGCCCGCTCTGGGTCATTGCAGAAAGCACTCGGGTGCTCGGTGCGGCAGTGGGGAGCAAGTGAGACCCACAGGAACCCCGGGCTGCGAAGCTCTGGGAGGGAGCACTGATCCTCAGGGCAGCAGTTATCTTCACCTCTCCCGCTCTCAGTGCGACAGTTCCGCTGCAAAGCGGGGACCCAGAGCACCAGTGTCCCGGGCTCTCGCTGATGCTCAGCTCTGAGGGCTTTGCTTTCTCAAAGCGCAGAACACCCGTTTTGACTCTCGACCACCTCACATCTTCATCACAGAGAAGCCTCCAGTGAAGGTCGATAAACTATTTCAACTGGAAGAGTCTAGAAGCTTGACTAAGCAGCTCAGCAGTTCTACATCCTGGGGTGAAAAGGACATGCACTTGCTGCTCTAGGATGTTGTTCACTATGTCCACTTGAGAAGTTTAGAAGTTCAGCTAAGTGATTCAGCAGAGGGCCAGGGTCCTTACTTTGTGAACATTCTCAGCTTGAGGAAGAGGAGGGCACAGAGGTGGTGTGGGTATGGGCAGATAGCTGACATACAGTATAAGGGAGGAAAAGAGGCTTGCTCCTCCTTTGGACTCTTGCTGCTTTTGCTGTCTTCTGCTGCCTTGAACTGTTGCCCCTGTGCCATGTCACCCTGCCTTGGAGCCAGCTGAGTATGGACTGAAACCACTACAAACTGCAAGCTAAATAAACCTGTCTTTCCTTAATTATGAGCATTGGGTATTTTGTCCCAGCAACGAGAGAAAAGTAACTAAGACACACCTTGACCTGACCCCATCGCTCAAGGCTCTCTGACAGAGGCAGTCTGTCACCTCCTGAGCCCAGGGAGACCGTGCTGGTCCCCAAGGGCGCCAGGTGGTCTTGTAGACCCCTTCTTCCTGGGCCCACAACTGCACACTACTTCCCAGTCTTACACTAATTAAATTAAGAAACCACGATCTTTATAAGAGTCTAGAGAAATCTAGAAATGACAATGGCATCCCATTCATGGCCCATCAAATATTTTTGTCTTATAGGGTTAAAGTTAGATCTTAAATATGTTCTGTTTGCATTTACAAACTTCTCCAGGTTTCTATTTCTACTTATAACTATTGAAGGTTAATTTTCTCTCCTGGAAGTATCCATTTACATGTAAATTCTAATCTTTAGGAATTATATCATCCAGGTCTACTATATTTCCTTGCCGCCAGGAGCGTGTGACTAAATACTACAGACTGCAGTCCTCCGATTGTAGGTTTTTACAGTAACCAGTTATTGTAAGAGACGCGTGTCATCTCATACATCTAAATGAGTGTGACAATTAAAGAAAGCAGCACGGATCAGTGAAAATAACACCGGAAGTCCTAACACGCACATGAGGCGGGCACATGTTTCCCAGGGCGGTGGGCGGGGAGGATGCTGAGCAGGAGCAATAAATGCATCACGTCCTTGCCACCTAATTATTTTAGGCTACTTGTGGTATGAAATACATTAATAACAATTTAAAGTCAATGGCATCCCATGAATGTGAAATTGTGAACGCGTCGCGGACACAGTCCAGGTGTCAGTAATCGCTGGCCACACGGGTCCCCGCAGGAATATCACGCAAGCGCCTTTCCCCCGTCTTTGCTGTTTGTGATTTTTCAAATCATTACACATGCATAACAGAAATGGGCCAGGCTGAGTAAATTGAGTATCATTTCCCTCCTCTCCGCACAGGAGCTGAACCGGTTTTATCTCTTTGGGGGAAAGCAGCCGCATTTACATTTGCCGGCTGGAATGTATAAAAGCCTAATGTCAAGAAATCCATTTGCTCTTTAATAAAAGTTATCATAACGTCTGGGTTGCTTGATTTATGGAGAGACTCCTGTCACCTCAGCGGCCTGCCGCTTTCTCTCGCCTCTGGAAACCCAAGACAGGTCATGACATTTACACTAGGTCAGAATAATCATGTCACCCAGATCACGTTCCCTGACAACAGCCCATTTGTCTCATTTAAATAATGAGCATGATTGGTGGAAATTGCAGGCTGTAACCCTAACACACACAGGAAATGACAAACACAAGTGCGGTGAATAATAAGGCAAACACTGACAGGTAGCACAGCCCTCCGCTACAAATGGCTGGTGTTAGAGCTACTTCCTGAACCTTCCCCTGAAGATTTGATAAGGGTCCAGATGGTTGCGAGGCAGAAAGATAGAAATATTTTACTGAGCTTGTTCTGATAAGGGACCCTGCTTCCTGGGTGGTGGCTGGGGCAGTGAGGCAGTGCCCTCTGGATAGGCTGTGGTCCCTGGCCCAGTCCATGGCAGCCCACGGGATGTGCAGAGGATCATTACCCAGAGAGGAGCTCAGGACGCACAGCTGGGGGCAGCTCCCCTCCCTGTCCCCTGGGCTTGCTCACTGCCTCCGAATTGCACTGAAAATGGGAACCTGCTCCAGAAACCCCTCCAAGGTCCTGACACAGACTGGGCGTGCACTCGGACTTGCTGACCTTCATTTCTTCTTGCCAGCGTGGACGTAAGGCACAGCTCTTCCATTGAAATCCTGAGTTTACCGTGACTGCACATCCCGAGGCCGTGGTCTGTCCACAGTGCCCGTCACAACTCAGGTAGCTCAGGTGAGTCCTTGGGCCTTCTCTCATTTTCCAGGGGCTAGCGATGCCTGCTGACTGTGAGCTGCTTTGAAGATCACCTGAAATGACAAGATCAGCACAGACTGGGGACTGGCCTCCCCCTCCAGACAAGCCAGTTTCCAGCTGCCTCCAGAGTCCTGTCCGTCCATGCCCATGTCCGTCTCAGCCCTTCTTCTGTCTCCTGGTTCTTCCTACTCTCTATCCGCCTTCCCATCTCCCGGCCTCAGCTCTGGGTCTCGCCTCCAGCTTGCGGCTCTTTTCTGCCAGTCCTCTTCTCCTGTCAGCTGCATAGTGTTCTTTGCGTGTACCCCCCAGCCCAGAACCTGCAATGCCTGAGAAGAGTTGCCCCATCTGTATGTCTCCTTGTAGAAGAATCAGTCTTGTCTCTGTGGTCTCACTCTGGGTGATGGAATCCATATCTACCTAGCCCCCGGTACCTGGTCACCAACCACAATGGAGATTTCCTCTTCCCAGAATCCTCCTAGAGCCTGCTGGTGGCTGTGTCCTCTCTGTTAGCACCCAGGGTGGGTGGGCTTGGGGGATTCAGTCCAGGACGCTCAGTCCACAGGCTGAAGGCCCCTCAGGCTGCTCTTTTGGCCTCATGGTCACCGTGACCATCAAATAGGAGTGCTAACTCTACAGCCTGGTGCATTTTGTGGCATGTCTTTTGTCTGCAAAGAGCTGGAAAACATCACCTGCTTCTGAGCCCTTTAGAACTGAACACCCACTTTCTCTCAGCCCCCTACGCAGTGGGGGACTTGGGCCTGAAGCACTTGCAACAGCAGCTCCCTGCAGAAGTTCCTTCCCTCAAGGCAACACCTTGAGCATCTCCATGACTCATGGCTTACGGGCACCTGGCCGGTCACCATTTAGGACATTTCCTTGTCTTTATACTCACCTGAAATGCAATTCTGGTTCCTCCAGCCCGTGGCTTGTTTGTCTCCACAGGCAGAGTATTCTAAGCCTGGGCTCACTGCCCCTGTCTTTCCCATTAATGTCATGCAGGAGGGTCAGTACTGATTAGGAACCCGGGCCACACCTTGGGCTGGTGCTGCTTTGCATGCTCCTTGCTGCAACCCTCTGCAGGCAGAAGTCTCTGTGATTCTTGGCATTGCCATTTGTCTGCCTGAGCACGGTGAGGAGAGATGGTCTCCACGTTGTCATGAATAAAGTGGGCCAGGAACCCACAGGGTACAGCAGAGAAGAGAACCCTGGTACTTATTAGGGACTTGAAGGATTTGAGGTTTGCTTGGTCCTGAAAACACAAGTGAGCTTACAAATTAAAACTAAGGAAAAAGAAAAGCTGAAAAGAGAAAGAGAGGCCTGTGGGTCTTAGACAAAGGCCTGTCTGGGAAGAACAGAGGAGCTGATGCTGCTGCTGATCTGCAGGGTCCTGGCATGGAGCCTCTGGGTGCCCCTAGGGGAGCCCAGCCTGTAGCTGGCAGAGGGGCTGGGACCCTCTCTGGAGGTCCCTGCCTGGGACTCGTTCTCTGGTGGCCCTTGATTTATTGTCTCATATCCCCAAACCTTTTCCACCCAGTCAACCTTACTGCAGAGGAACTACTGTCTCGGTGAGCCCGACTGCAGTGCTGCAATTGCTTTGCTGTGATGGGGTGACCGCAACAGCCCCAGAACAGAAGGCAGTTCATCCCATCTCTTGCCCACCCTATTATGAGTATTGTGGAATTTATAAACCGGGACTGATCTGACCCCAAACCAGAAAACCATACAACAGTTAAGAATAGCATTCTATGGCATAATTTACTTGTTTGTACTTATCCAAATAAGATCCTAATTATAACAGTGAGGTGTGATTGAGTATGGTGAATACTTAATTTTAAAAGGGATTATTACAGTAAAAGTCACATTGCCATTAATCTCCCTCAGAAACTTCCCCTGACTTTGAACATATTTGTACTGTAGTTCTTGCTACTTTCTGAAGCAGCTCTGGAGTCCTCTTTCCTAAAGGTCCTTAGTTGTGCTGTTCTGGAGGCCTGGATGTTCTGAATCCATTCAAAATATTTACATTCCACGGTCACTTTGACTTTAAGGAAGAGCCAAGAGTCAGGCTGACAGATTAGGCACACAGAGATACACATGGTATGTTAACAGCACGCCTTCCACTGGGTAACACTAGTAGCAAAATTCACTGCATTCTTGACCACACCTAGTGAAGACACTAACGCCTGGTGTGTCTCCTGCACAAGAAACCCAGGCTGAGCCACTTCCCCATGTGTGATGTAGTGGGCGCAGAAGCACACACTTAGACACCCAGGGTGTCCCCTAGTGTCGGAAGCTGTCAAGCTCGTCAGGGTCCCAGCTGACTTATCCCATGGACGAGGACATGGACATAGTTCAAGCAGAGCCTCCAGCCATACCCTGGACTCCTGGGAATAAGCACGCAGTTGGGGCCTGGGCTTGTTGGGTACTGCGCCGACTCTTCGGCACCCAGCAAACCAGAGAGAGCAGCAGGGAAATTGTGCCCTGAACCGACAGCAGCAGCTGTGTAGCCAAGGATGGAGGAGTGGCCCCACTGCCTCCCAGGTGCTGGTGGGTGTCCTGAGGTCAGGCCTCACTGTACCCCTTCTGTGGTCAGCAGGTGCTCAGGGCCAAGCCAACAGTGGACAAATGGACATTTTCCGGGGTTTGAATATGAATGCTTGCAGGTGCCCCACCAGGCTTCCAGTCCCTAGACTGACTTTTCAGCTGTGCCCTCATCTGTAGTTTAGAAATCTGTTTGTGCCATATCCCCAGGTTCTTTTTCATTTCCGTGCAGGACAGCAGGAGACTGGTGAACAACTGAAGACAATGGGGTCATACCCCGAGGGTCAGAGTGCACAGGGACACTGCTGAACGCAGAAAGAAGCGGACTATGACCACAAAATAGAAAAGACCCCCCCAACACACACAGGATGGAAGGATTCATCTAAGCACCGTCTTCGCCACTCTGTTGTAAAGTTTGGAAAGTCTCTGGCCATATGCTTGAGAAATTTACTCCTATCTTGAACGCTTGTCTGACAACACTGGTAAACTCAAAGTGATTGTAGATGGACAGGTTCTTACACTTCAAATATCAGGGTTAATTACGAGAAATTCGGCAAAACCCCAAGCAGTGAATGAGGAGAGGAGGAGAGACGCTGTCTTCTCTGGCATTAAGCTGGCTTGGAGGTCTTTACAGTGTCGGTCAGAGGCTCCCAGTCGCCTGGAACTCATCACGGTTTGAAGCCCTGTTTGGAAGGGACTGCGGGACTCCAGACTTCCAAATGTGAGTATCTCTGGCATGCCAAGTATGTGGTGGGTTTTCTTCCATCCTAAGGCGCAGAAAGCCACCAATCTCTGCTAATACAATGGGTCCTGTCGAGTAGTTTTGTTGAAGGCGGTGATCATGGCAGAACAATAAAGGCTCTGTGAGGCCGAGACTCGCCTGTGACTTGTGCTCAGGACATTAGCATACGCCAATCTGTCACGCAGGGCTGGCTGTCTGGTGTCTGGCCACAGCCTCCTGCGGTGCCTGCTGCGATGACACATACGGCGTCAGTCGGCGGAACGCTGTGTCTGCTTCCTGAAACAGTCCCCACCTTGCAGGCCCTGGCCGTGTGATTTCTCGGGATGGCTTTGCCAAGGGGGTGGCTGTTGATTTTTAGAGCTGCCACTGAACAGAAGTCATGGGCCATCTCCTGACGCTGAGGCTACCTAGAAACCAGGCTGCCTGGAAAGCGCCTCCATGAACACAAGAAACCTGGAAAGGAATTATGCGTATTATTAAAGCAGCTTAGCATTCACGGCGAGATGTCAAATACAGTGGAACCTTGGTTCCTGAACTTAACTCATTCCACAATGCTGGAAAAGATGGCCATGCTCCTGCTCCTGTAGGAAAGGTGGCTGCAGTTGTGTTCGTCACACAATAAGGTTTGCAAACAAAAACAAGAGTTTGACAAATGCTTCTGTTTGTGAACTGAGGTACCGCTGTACTCCTTTTGGAATATGTATCCTTACACCAAATGCATATTCTTAGGATGATGACTTCATTTAATTTCTGGAGTGGATTCTTCTCTGATGATTGTATAATTTTGAGAATAATCACTTCAGGAATTTCTAGAGAAGGTGAAGCAGACATTGCCATCCTTTGTGATGCCTTTGGGACAGGTTGGATTTAGATCCGAATCTAGGAGGGACTTTTGTCAAAGCATCCAGGTAAGATGACTGGAATGTGAGCTCTTTGAATGCATGATGGGCTCCACATAATGACAAATCATCTTTCTTTTGTACAATGAAAAGTCTCACTAGTCAAAGAATTAGACATTTAAGAACTCTCATGGAGTTCCCTGATAAAGTTGGGGACAGAGGACATGCTCCTCAGAGTTGTAGAGAGATGCTGCAGTTGTCAGTGAGGGCACGCATCCTTGCATTTCTGGGACGCTGACAAGAAAATGCGTGTCCTCAACCCAAGCTTCTGCAGCACTGCCAGGCTCTGCCACTCAGATGCATCACTGATCCCAGCCTGACTTCCTGTCCCCAGGAAGCAAGCACTGTGTCTCCCCTCCCTTCCCTTCCCTTCCCTTCCCTTCCCTTCCCTTTTCTTCCCTTCCCTTCCCTTCCCTTCCCT